TAAGGGTCAAATCCAAGAGCTTCTTGATAAATAGTTCATCCGTTCTAGTGTTTCCCCGTGGGGTGCTCATGTCTTGTTTGTTAAGAAGAATGAGGGTAGTATAAGGACTGGTGTTTTTATCTTAATCCATAAAGGAGTGGATTGATACCGAAATGACAAGCTTATCGATAAAGAAAGTCCCATTGAGTACATTTGGGTGAAGGCAATTGAAGATTTTAGTAAGAAAGTGCGTATAAAATTGGGTTAGTCAGTTGAATTTGATGGGTATACCTGAGTTGAGGTGTCATGTCGATGAAAAGGTTTACTTCGTAGTGATAGCTAGAGCTAACTAAGCATAATGGCAATAAGAGTTCATGATGAATTGTGATTGGATGAAACTATATAATAAGATTGTTGGTTAAGCAAAATTTGTACAGTAATTACGACTTGCGAGTACCTAAGCTGGTGGTTTTCAAAATTTGGTGAGTAACATGGTTGTATGGAAAGTTTTAAGAGATGGTGGGACACCATTCAAATAGAATTTTAAAGAGCTAGAGTTATAATGAAGGAAAATATAGTGAGATATAGTACAACCTTTAGAGAGAGGCGAGAGCAATAATATTTTATTTGATTGCAAAGACTAAAGAGATTTCTTCATAAAGGTAGATAATTGGGTTCAAAGACGCATGATTTCATTCGTTTTGTTGTGGCTATGGTAATAGTATCACAAGTCAAATTGGTTAAAAACTATTGGAAAGGACTTGAGAAAGGAGTGTACGTACATTAACTTGAGTGTGATGATAAGTGTTTTGTTTTTGTTTTGAGTTTAGTAATGAGTACTATTGAAATTTTAGCGAAATATATGGTAAGATCGATGGAGATGCGATCAATGATAAATAGAGATCCATGAATTCATAAAAATCTTTAAGGTAAAAGCTAATGTTGATAGAGAAAAAAATTGTGTTATATGATGGAAATTACAATTCAGATTTTTTCATTGTGAGTCTACATTCGTGGTGATGTATTTTGTCAAGGTATGAATTGGCAAGGTGAGAAATGATCAATTGTATCCGGTATTGAGCATTTAAAAGGACTTACACCTGGGGTGAGTCATAAGTTTACTACTATTGATTGTTAAGTACCTAAGAAAGGTTTCATTTTTAAAAGTGTTGGTTTATAATAAGGTAAAAGGTCGGATTGTTTATGATAGTTGTTAGTGTTGTGAGTATGATTCACTAGCTATGCTCTATAGTGTTTTCACTTTTATGGGTGGATCCCTAGTGGTGAATCAGGAGTACCAAATCCTGTGATGTTCTCTTGGTTGAGTGGGAAGATTGGAAAGATTTGGTTATTTCGAATGACATAATCGGTGTTGTCTTGGAGTTTTAAAAGTATTTTAGTGATTCTACATGTTCCACCCTGCTTATGAGAATTTATAGAAGAGCTACCATGCGTATTTGTGGTTGTTTGATAATTTTAATATTCCTATAGTCGTCGAGGTCATGTATCGATTATGTGTGGTTGAACGCGGGGATCATTGGGTCCAATTCTACTGTTCTTAAGAGGTAATCTACAATTACTAAATCTTGCATTTCGATAGTGTTGATGGAGGGGTTGTATGCTTAGACATATCCCTCGATGAGTATCTGATTTCTAAAGATCAACTTTGTTATAACTAAAGCTCATGAGAATTTATGTTGTGGGATGGAGATATTGTTAAAAACTATGATTGTTTGGTTATTATGAGTGTGTGTTGGTTGATTCAGGTTCACTTATATTGGTAGTAAGTATTGACTTGAAATTTTATCATGTGTAAGTGCTAAAGGATTCGTCCGGATGATTGTGTCAAGGTCCTTGATAACATGTTGTAGACGTGTGTACGATCAACTTTGGTGGTTGTTGGGAATCACTTTTGTTGTAGTTAAGTTTACATATGACAATATTTATCACTCGAGTATTGAGATGACTTCATTAAAGCATTGTATGGGAGGATGTGTAGGTGTTCCAATTGGTTGGTTTGAGGTAGAAGACGTGAAACCTTTGATAGTTGATTTGTGAAAGATGTTCAGGGTAAGGTGATAAGTATCCAATCTAAGCTTCTAGCAGCCCATAGTCGACGGAAAAAGTATGTGGGACAAGTATCCCCAGTTATTCGACGATTCAGATACTATTGTATTCTTGCTTTAGCCCTTTTATTCCTAGTTTGTCACTCGGGGAGGAGTGATGGATAAATTGATATCTATGGTAATTTCCTGCTCCCGTCGTTATAGAAAATCCAATGGAGAAAGAATTGGGGTCAGAAAACTTTTCGTAGTAACTTGAGATTTTCCAAACTAGTCCAGATTTGGACGAAATCGAAGTCTGTGAGGTCTAGGGAAATTTGGTAGCAATTGGGGTGATCTAATTATGAATTCGATCACATAAGTAGATAGGTAAGTCGTTAAGGAAACCGTACGACTTTACGGAATTGAATTCGGGTGAGTAGAACTCCTGAAACTGATTTTGGCGTGAACGGATAGTTTCTGAGTGTCGTTGGTTGAAGGTGTGTTGTGAAATGGGGTCTTGGATTTATTATTTTTACTCACTATTCCGTGCAAGCCTCTATGGCGAGGATTTCTTCCGCCAGGGCAGGGACGCTGTAGCGGGACAGACGCGACTTAAGTCGAAAATAAAATTCTAAAAACGTTTTAATCTGCACTTTTTGACTTTGAGAGCTAAGGAACGATCCCAGGGGTTTTCTTGACAGTTTTTCACCATTCTTGAGGCTAAAGGTAAGGTTTTCACTCCCCGAATCCATTTTTCGATCCGTAGAATGTAAATTCGTAGGTAATTATTGTGGGGGAAGGGGTTTGATCTGAAACTAATGGTGGAAAAAACCCTAATCTGGATATGGGTATCAAGGTTTGACTAAGGATTAATATTATTGATTATGATCCGGGTAATTGGGTCTTGATTGTTGATCCTTGCGTATAAATTGTTATTTGTAGAGTTTTGGTACAATGACTTTCAGGTTCTAGGGGTTGAATTTCCGCATTAGTTTGGTTAGTTATTTGTTAAAACCTTGGAGTTTATGGGAACTCCATATTTTTATAGTCATTTAAACATGTTTCTGCATCTTTAAATACCTTAGTTTTCATAAAATTTATTTGTTTGGGTTGTAGTAATGGTTCTCCCATCGGAGGGTTTGTGTGAGTGTCAATCACGACGGTTTGGGTCGTGACAATATAATTGTTGTTAATGACTTAAATCCGCACTTGAATATGCTAATCAGTGCGAATTTTATTTAATTTACTCAATTTTTTTTAAGTAGAATAAAATGAATAGAATAATAAAATTGATCTATTTAAAAAAAAATGCAACTCTACCATTTTATAAATTTCAATTTCTAAAAAATTAAATAAATTCCGTTCAATGAAGTCGTTGGAGTACAAACTTTGGGTTTAACGCGTAATAATTTTTTTCTTTTCATAATAAAGTTTAGCATATAGAAGTCATTAGTAGCGATAATATGCTTCATTTTATCCTCTGTTGAATAAAATTATGACTTATATTTTCTTTCTTCGTGAATTTTATTTTAAATCGTTGAGGTTAAGGTTCTTCATATAAGATTAATTTGAAGAAAAAATAGTGGAGGGAGAGAAACAAAAGTTGCTAAAGGATTTAATTATCGAGGCATGAAATCCATTAATATAAACTTAAGCTATTTGTATTAAAAAAATGGACAAAAACTAAACTTGATAAATTTTTAAATATTTAAAGGACTAAAATCGGTAAGTTTATAGTTAAGGGACAAAAATTCGATAAGTGTATAGTTAAGAGATTAAAACTAATAAGTTTTTGAATAGTTAAATGACTAAATCCGTAAAATGTATAGTTAAAGGTTCATTTTAGACCTACTTCTATATTTAAAAGACTAGTTATGTCATTTTCTCGAAAAAGGGCACCCATTATGGAGTTCGAGATCTGGTTGGAGCTCGGAGCTAGCAGTGGTTACTGATCTGCAGAGCCGCGCCGGAGTTCATGGCCGTCGCTGTTGTTGTTACTCCGGTGGATTCGTGGCTGGTTTTATTCGCGGAAGAACAGGGGTTTATTTGGTTTTTTATGGCGTTTGGGGTATGGTTTGGTGATTAGCTAAAGTTGATGGTGACAAAGAAAAAATGGGGGTAGGTATCCGGTGGTTGCTCGTCGGCAGTGAAGATCTGGTGGTTTCATGGGTTGGTTTTTGGTGGTGTAAAGGTGGAAGAAGAAAAACAGTTGGGTTGGATGGTGGTGGTTCGTCGGATTCCCGACGTGGTATATCTTATTTGTGTCCAAAACTTTTGTTTATTTAATTAGTGTATCAACATATTTTTAGATTATACTAAAAATAATTTTTTTTTTTTTACCGTGGTTTCCGGGCGTCGCTTTGCGAACCCGACTAACTAAAAATAATTAAATGAATACAAATAAATATAATAAAGGTAACAAACGACATATAAAAAATGTGATTTAACAAAAAATAAAAATTTAATGAAATGAAAGTAACACAATATCTCTATTTTGTTTATACGCAACAAATTTTGAGAATAATAATAATAATTAAAATTAACTAATGAAAATCTTAATATTTTCATAAGAATAGATATCAATAAATTACATTAAAATTATAACAAATGTATTAATTAATTAGTTAATGAATAAAATATTAACTTTAAACAATATCAAGTCAAAAGTTGGGTTCGGGCCCTAGTATGGAGAAAATCTTGTTGGGAGCGTCACCCCCAAATGGGCCCTGCAGTGCGCGATTCAAATTTAATCGGGACTTCAATATGGACTTTGAATACCGAGTGAGAAACCAAAAAAAGTTAACACATGGTAAGACATCATTATTTACTTTAATTTTAACTTCATTTTATTCTTATTCGCATTGAAAAGTCATTCAATCAAAGTAGAAAAAATTGAACTGAACACCCCACCCGTACTACTACATATATTAGCTACGAGGACTTATAATCTTTGAATTGTGAAGTTGCATAAAAATCATGTCCAAACTTTGTTCCCCTTTATTCCTCCTCGTTCTCCTTTCAATCCTTACGTATGGAAACTGTAACGAATTTTCCAGAAAATTATCGAAGAAAGCAATGGGTTTAAAGAGAGAGAAACTTAGCCACCTTCACTTCTTCTTCCATGACATAGTGAGTGGAAAAAACCCAACGGCGGTGAAAATAGCAGAAGCCGCCGTGACCAACAGGTCAGCCACTGGATTTGGTTTAATGGCAATGATTGACGACCCTTTAACAGTTGGACCAGAAGCAAACTCGAAAATAGTTGGAAGAGCACAAGGGATGTATGCACAAGCTTCAATCAATGATATTGGTTTATTGATGGTACTTAACTTTGTTTTTGTTGAAGGAAAGTATAATGGGAGTAGCTTAAGTGTTTTGGGACGGAATTCGGTGATGTCAATTGTTCGGGAGATGCCTATTGTCGGGGGAAGTGGGCTTTTCAGATTTGGTCGTGGTTATGTTCAGGCGAAGACTCATACTTTCGATTTCAAGACTGGTGATGCTGTTGTCGAATACAATGTCTATGTCTTCCATTATTGATTTTTAACTGATTGTACTTTTGTTATTTGGGTTGGCGTGCCTCTTTTTTCATGGAATATTGAAAAGTAATGTAATTTTATTTGGCATATTTGAATTTTGTCATGTGCATGGACCACTTTGAAAGTAGGAAAATGAAGGTCCCTATGTTACTTTATTTCCTTTTGAATAGTTGAATAGTTTTTCTTTTTCGTGAAGCGCTTTCTATTAATTTTTTTATTTTATTTATAAATTCAAGGTTTGAATTTGAAATTTGTGATTAATAATGGAATAATACTCACTACCACTAAAAACACTTTAAAACAAACTAAAGGGTAAGCACTTTCTTTTACTAAAAGTTTTATTATTTCGTCTGTTCAATTTTATGTGACACGCTTTGATTTTACATGATATTTAAGAAGAGTTTTTAAAAAAAAAAATAATCTTTAGATATTTGTTTGATTATAAATCATTTCATTTAGAGTAAAACAAAAATTATAAAGTTAATTATTTTTTATTATAATAAAGTAAAATTCTTTTTTGAGAAAAACTAAAAGACGGAGAGAGCATATTAATTATTAGTGACTTCATTATTTGTTTTATAATTAAATTACTTATTAGAGTGATAGCTTTAATATAATGACATCTGTTAGTTATTTTTCCTCTAAATTCTTTTTTAAATGAGAAGTTTTATGAGGTTAACTTAAAATATGATTCCTTTTCAAATTTGGCTTTATTTTACTTCAAACATCACCTCTTACTTGGGGTGTTCATAGTAAAACCAAAATAGAAAATTAAATCAAAGAAAAAATTTAACACTTTTTTATTTGGTTATGTAGATACGTAATATTTGACCGAATTTAAAATTTTACATAATTTTAATGCTTCAATATATATTTTTAAAATCTAAATTAAATATTTTGATTTTTATCTCATTTTAATAAATTTATTTTAAAATACTACAAAAATGGGGAGTTCTAGGATTTTGGTGGGGAAGGAAATTGAAGCTTTTAATTAATTACCTGTGGAGGGTGGAGCTCGTTTAGGCTTGGCAGAATCATTTTCTATGGACAATGGCTTGGAAAATGAATAACTTGGGCAGAAGTTCTTGAGAAGATCAGGGAAGTCGACATAACTTGAGAAGATGAAGAAGTGTTTTGGGTTATAATTTGGGGTGGGTATTATGTTATTTGTGTGAGTTTTAAAATTAATTTGAGTGGGTCTTTAAATTATGGGTTGAAATTTAATAAATTTTGGGTAGGTGTTTTAGATTGAGACATGTGTCCCACCGTTAGTAGAAAAGATATATACACTTCAAAATTTGGACGGTAAGGATATTAGAGTCCCGAAAGTACAACGGAGGGTATTTAAATACCATTTATGATAGTTTGAGGGTATATTTATCTCCCCCACACAATAAATAAATAAATTATCCTACAAGCTACAACAACAATCCGCACGAAACACAAAGAAAAAGAAAAATCATCACCTATACTACAACAAACATCAACCCACACACGTAGAAAGAAAAAACAAATACACACTTATGGAAATAGTCCCAAAAAATAAAAGAAAAAGCAAAAGAAGGCGGTTTTTAATGTTTACTTTCATAGTTTGGAGTTTGTGATTCTTGATTGTGGTCTTTTTTTCTCATGATAATAATTTTCACAAGAAGTAATACTTAATCTTCTTTGTATAGTTTTATATCATGATTCTGCATAGCTTGATTCCAATTTATTGAAGTTGTTCAGATTGTGTATGTGTTGAATTCGTTATTCTTTAACGTTATAATATTAAAATATATTTAAACTTGTTATATCATTAAATTTAAAGTATATTGCCATAGCAAGTAATTATTTCTTGCATGCTTAAAAGTTCAATTTGCATCTTGTTCTTGATTAAAGTACGAAACTTAATGTTCTAAAGTATGTAATTAATAATATTTAGATGAAATTTAGTTCTAATAAATTAAGTTACTTTTCCATTTTGTATACTTAATAAAATTATCATTTTTCGTAATTTGACTCTCAAAAGTACTTTGTATGAAATTAATTACACTTTTATTCATTTTGTGTAATGCAAAGAAAAATATTTCCGTTCTTTGTAAAATACGTAACTAAGAGAATAACATTTTCGTTCCAAAAATAATGGAGAGTTTCTGTAGAATGTGGTATAATGGCCTTTAATGCCATTAACATTCACAATACATTATACAAATTTAACTCTTCACTTTGAAACTCCTCTTTGCAAATCCTATATAAGCATGGCCTTTTGTGAACAAGAAGAGAACACACCAACACAAACAAAAGGAAGAGAAAAAACTTTTTCCTCTTTTCTTCTTATCTTATTCTTATAATATTTTTTGGGCAATTGGTTTTGGGAAACCTCCAAACTTTCAGCCACGAGAGCACGTATTTGAGAGTAATTGTGGAACCTTGGAGAGCGACCGGCTACAACGATTTGGATCGGAGTCGAGCCGAAATCGCTTTCAAGGCAGTGGCTTGCCACGACACAGTGTTTGTGATAAGTTATTTATTACTTTACAATTCCAATCTAATTAATATCAATATTGTAGTATTTTTCCCAACAATTTGAAAGCGATTTACTAACATACAATATTGATAAATGGTTATTTCTTTGAACAAATTTTTTTCTAATTTGTCAAAATTTGAGCCTTTGAATGAAAATAATTTTAAACGATGGTCACAATTTTTTTTAATTTTCTTTGAACAATTAGAAGTTGATTATGTTTTATTTAATGAACCTTCTATGAATGGTTCTAATACTACTATTGATTCTAGCAATGTTATGGTTGTTGATGATGTTGCTAAAAAGAAGTTTGAAAAGGATAACAGAACTGTGAGAGGACACTTGCTAAATCATATGACTCATCCTATATTTGATTTATTTGTTACTTATAAATCTGCCATGTAATATAAGATAGTTTCAAAAAGTAATATGGTGCTGATGATGCAGGAAAGAAAAAATATGTTGTCGATCAGTGGATTAAATTTCAAATGGTTGATAATAAGCCAATAATGAAACAAGTTCACGAATATGAGAACTTGACTGCTGATGTTCTCAACGAGGACATGAAGATGTGTGAGATATTTCAGGCTAATGTTCTACTTGAAAAATTCCCACCATCTTGGAGTGATTATAAAAGTCAATTAAAACATAAGAAGAAAAAAATGTAACTCTCCAAGAACTTATTAGTCATATGAGGACTGAAGAGGCGAACAGTCTCAAAGATAGGATTAAGGAACTTTCTCTTAATTCTTCTAAAGCTAATCTTGTTGAATTTTCTAGTACTATTGTGAAAGACATGTCCAAAGGCAAACAGAAGAAAGTCTAAAAAAAGGAACATATGAAGAAGAAAAATCAATTCAACAAGCCGGAGAGCCAAATTCAAAAATTTAAGGGTTCTTATTTTGTTTGTGGAAAAGTTGGTCACAGGGCTGCCAAGTGCTATCAAAGAAAAGGGCATGACTCAAAGTAGGAAGGACAAAGTGATGTCCAAGCTCATCTTACTGAGGGTAATGAAGTGATTGATGTTGTAGTCGTTGAGGCAAACCTGGTGGCTAACAAAATTGACCGGGTGCTAGACACAGGCGCTTCAATGCATTTTTGTGTCAATAAGGAGTTATTTCATGACTTTGAGGAGTTCAGTGATGGTGAGTGTGTATATATGGGCAACTCTACTACTGCTGTAGTAATGAGTAAAGGAAAATTTTTGCTTAAATTAACTTTCGAAAATATATTTTCTTGAACAATGTTTTGTATGTTCCCTCCCTCTGTAGAAACTTAGTTTCCGAAACACTTCTCAACAAAGTAGGTCTTAAAATTATTTTTGAAGCTGATAAAATAATTATTTCTCGTGGAGGAGATTTATTGGGAAGGGATATCTTAGTGGAGGTTTATTTGTACTGAACATTGTTCAAGAGATTGTCAATAATGGAAGTATTTCAAATTTTGCTTATATTGTTGAGTCTATCAATTTGTGGCATGGCAGACTAGGTCATGTTAATATTGCTTCTATTAAAAGACTTAGAAAAATGAAATTAATTCATGTGATAAAAACTTCTGAGTTTTCTAAATGTCCTGTGTGTAGAAGCAAAGCATGCCAAGAAACCTTTCAAATCTGTTATTAGTAAGTAGACCAAATTACTTGAACTAATACATTCAGATTAAGCAGATTTCAAGAACACTGTTAGCAAAGGTGGAAAAAAAGTATTACATTACTTTTGTTGATGACTTTTCTAGATACATTAAGGTATGTCTTCTTAAGTCTAAAGATGAGGCTGAAAGCATATTTTTGAAATTCAAAGCAGAAGTGAAAAAATCAATTAGACAGGAAAATTAAAAGATTTAGATCTGATAGGGGCGGTGAATATAGAACTAAAACTCTAGAATATTTTTGTGAGAAACATGATATTATACATGAGGTTAGTGCTCCATATACTCCCCAACAAAATGGTGTAGCCGAACGAAAAAATAGAGCCCTTAAAGAAATGATGAATTATATGCTTTTAAACTTTGGTCTATCTGACAATGGTGTAGCCGAAAGGAAAAATAGAACCCTTAGATCAGTCTTGTCTGCATGCTATATTCTTAATAGAGTCCCTCATAAGATGTTAGACAAGACCTCATATGAGTTGCTGAAAGGATTTGCTCCTAACTTGAAATTTCTGAAAGTGTGGGGGTGTTTGGCTAAGGTTGGTCTACCTGGATTTTAAACGAGTAAATATTGGTTCTAAGACTCCTGATACTGTCTTTATTGGTTATGCTCAAAATAGTGCTGCATATAGATTTATGTCTCTCAATGATCACTCTAATTGTGAATCTAGAGATGCCAAATTTTTTGAGCATATTTTTCCTTTAAAAATTAATGTGTCAAGTGATGTGCAAAATAATGCTTCTACATCTATGTCAGTTAATTCTCATGTTGTGCCTTATTCGAATGTTATTTCTAGTGAGCATGAAAATGAACTTAGAAGGAGTAAAAGATGTAGAGTTGAGACTAA